CTCTTTTTTTTCTTTTGCCGATCTTTACCAGAAGCATATGCTGCTTAATTTGTGTTTGTTTGCATATCCTCATGTTGTATATATAATACATTGAGTTGAAATAAAGTTTCCTGTTTGTCTGTAATCAGTAACTTCATTAAAAATACTGGAACATTTACGTATACAGTCGTGTTTACCGCGATTGAAAATTTATAAATATTTTTAAGAAATACAATAGATTTGACAGTTTATATTAGTTGTATAATCAGAGAATATACCGATAAACAGTGTCTGAATTAGCAGACGGGAATATCATTGAAAAAGGACTATGGAGGCTATTCGTTGCCAAAAATCCAGCCTTGTTGATCTGAGAAATACAATTGTATTTTTTCCATTAACAAACTGTTCAACTCAGTTTGTTAATGGAAAAAATACAATTGTATTTCTTTGTATGCAAACTCCAATGTTGCCTTCTTGGATTGAGTTTGCCGATTTAACATTGTAAACATGCATGTCAACAAAATACATTTTGTTAAACGACAAAACACTAACTGATAGTAGCAAAACCAAGTGTTCGAATACTCATTGTTCGTGTATACGCCGACAAAACATAAGTTACATTCTCAGCTTTACATTGTCGAACCATCATGATTCGGATCGGTATAATCCAGCTTTACACGTTTTTCGATAGAAGATAAAATAAGCTCCGCCCATTTTCCCGCCCACTACATCATCGTAAGTAAACGTATTTATCCGCTCATTTTTGGTATTTACCGTCGGCGACAAGAAACGGCGTAGTTTCCGTTTACCGTACCATACCTTTTAGGTGTTTAGTTTTTCACCAAACTTAATTCACTTGCATGATCGCCATTCTATGCCTTTTATACAATCAACATCAGCGGACTTTAAAGGACTATAGGCATATAAGTTTTAAAACGTTGTAGACACCACATTTTCTAGACAAAGAAACACAAAAAAAAAAAAAAAAACACAAAAAAAAAACAAAACAAAAAAAACAAAGAACAACAACAACAACAACAAAAAAAACAAAACAAAAAACAACACCAGGTAACTTACTGTCTGAGGTTAAATATTTTTCAAGGAAGTAAAAACTATTGATAAGACTATATTCAACGACAAATAAATTTTTCTGATGGTATTCCAATTTGCATAGGAATGAATAACATTTACAGTTAAGCTGCTACCTTACCACTGCATAGGAATGAGTAACATTTACAGTTAAGCTGCTACCTTACCACTATACATGTATCAGAAAACAAAGAAGTAAGTCAATTTAATTGTTGTAGAAACCGTCCATATAAAAAACTAAAGAAATTTCATAACATATATTATTATAAAATCGAGGCTACTTATATCACTCTGAAAAAAAGTCGGAACACGTGATAATGTTTTTTTGTTTTTGTTTTCAGCTTTCCTAAGTTTATCGTGAAATTTTTCAAGCACATAAATATATCTAAATAGTTTTTCAAACTCTTGAGAAGTTAAGATGGGTGATGAAATAACACACATTTTATCCGTTCCTCGTAACACATTAAAATGCACGTCACGTATACTAATTGTCACTTCACAAAATTAATAAACATTGATGAGATTGGTATAAATAAAAGTAACTTAAATTATGATTTTTGTAATTTTAAGCGATTAACTATGTCATGGTACTATAACGTCCCGGTTGGATGATATTGTGGACGAGCTGGCAATTCACAGCTGGCCACGTGCCAATCCGTTTGGCACTTACTGCCTTGTCAATCCACTTTTAAAGGAATACCAATTATGTAAGTAATAGAAAGAGCATCGAAACCCGAGGCTATCTGATTTGTACGAGGGGGCGTAGCCCCCGAGTATTAATCAGATTGCCAAGTGTCAAACATAAAAGCGCGTTCCCTGTTGTCACAATATGAAACCCCGGAGAAAAGTAACCAATGAACGAGCATTTAAATATCATATTTCTGTCGCTTTCACTTTCTCTGCCGTCACAATAAGTAAACCCCAGCGAAAATGAGCCAATCAATGGGCATGCTCTGAAGTGCGGATAACTAATACCTGCACTCCAGTTAACGCACGGTGCATGTATATGTAAACGATTTAACTCGGACACATTTTCAAGAGAAAGGTCCCCAAACTATGATACAATACAATAACACCCTGCTGTTTCAGTTTAAATTACTGATGCTTAAGTCATTTAATGATACCTTGAACAGAAACTCTGGTCATTCAATTATTAGTCCGCTAATTTTGTATGGCTATTATCAATATCAATTCACGTTTTAGTAGTCTACTAACTGCTTTGATTCATCCCAAATTTTCTGTTCTCTGGGTGTCATTACTTATAATCACGTCCTTTAAAATCTGGAAACAAAGTGATCCCTCGGAAGCATTAATCACAACAAAATTACAAGAGAATTGCAGACTCGGTTTGATTGAGTCTGTACATAAGGGGTAATGAAAATGTGCAACATCCCTAAGGCTCCCTAGCACCGGCTTGAGCGGTACTCAATTCTCAACACTTAATAGTGTTGGCATCAATGATCCCGAAGGACCAGAAAAATATAACAACACTGAAGTGAAGTACGGGGCAACTTTTTACAGCTACCACACAGCACTTGACACCTGCTGTTGTGAAGTATAAAAATCTGGAAACAAAGTGAAACAAAGTTAAAGCCTTCAAATGCGCTAAATGTAGTCTATCTTTATTGCGTTTTTGCCCTACGCAGAATGCGCTTGCGCAAAATGCAACATCGGTTGCTATGGAAAAATCGTACTGTAAAAAAGGTCGATAGCAAAATTACTAGTATTTTTGGTCAAAAAAATATATGAGAATTTTTGTATCACATGTGCAGATCCATATTATATGTGTAATATATTGTATATTGTGTATTGCTGTATTTATATTCATTAAAGATTCTGTATTTATTTGACAAAGTTTTTTATTCCCGCGTTAACGTCACGTTCTGTTTTATTAGCATATAGTTAAACGGACGTTGCGTCATTTGTTATTTTATAAACGTCAATTTTTTCTGAAAAAGACTAAACGTCGTTGTGCAAGTTAACATCCAGTCTCTAGCACCGGCCTACGCGGTATCAACCTTTTAACATGAAATGGTACAAATTTAAATAAAGGAAGAAACTCTTGTGACAGTTTAATTTTACAACTGTACAGATGTACAGCTATATGTGACGCCTAAACTAATTGAATTTATCTACATGTAAAATCGGGTTTATGATATGCTATCCTAAAACTGAGCATTCCTGTCCTTCGTTTTCAGTGCTTTCAGCATTTTGATCTATCATGGTGATAAATTACGGTACCATTTTGTTTAGAATCACCGCAACTTTTGTATTAAACTATCTTATTCCAAAACATTTTTCAGATAGGATATTAAATGCTTAAATTCAAATAATATTATAAACGAAAATAGTTGCTAATTTGCTCTAATTGTCTGAAATTGTCTGAAATTGTGAGATGTTTAGGAATAGTGATAACGATTTCATGACGGGCTATGAAATTTCCGAAGATAACTTATTTTTCAGGAAAAATCTACAAGTACATTTCAAAAGACGATAATAACATCTGAAAAGATGCTACAAAAGGGGATTGATTGGACAATCCCTTTTGATTTTGGAACTAGATTGTGATAGATGTTTTATTTGTTTAACCATCCTTCCTTATATGTTCTATTTGAATCATAGTTTGGGGACATTTCTGTTGAAAACGTGTCAAAGTTAAATCGTATACACATAGTACAGTGCGTTAACTGAAGGGCAGATATAAGAAACCCGCACTCCAGAGTGAGCCCATTGATTTGCTCATTTTTGCTGCGGTTTACTTATATATTGACGGCAGAGAAAAGGAAAGCAATATAAATATCATATTCGGATGCTCGTTCATTGGTTGCTTTTTTCTGGGGTTTCATATTTTGACAACAGGGGACGTGTTTTTATGTTTGACTATGATACAAAAGAGAAAGAACATCAAAACACTCGGAAATCTCTCTACCACGGTAAATACAGAGTTGGGCAAAGAAAAAACAAGAAAAGGTAACTTTAGATATGTTTTTTCTTTGTTCATTAAGTATTAATTTCATAAATAAAAATAAAGCCTAAAATTAATTGTTTGCTTAAAATAAGGCAGGGATTAACTTTTCTACACAAACGTGCTGACATCAATGATCCCGAATGTTTTGAAATGATACAGCGTAATGTTCATTAGACTCTGCGCAATTTAAGATTAACATTTTCCTTTTTCTTTCAAACTTCTGAAGTTATTTTTAAACTTCCTTTCGAGTACTTCCTTGTTATAAAACAAAAATCTGGATCAAGTGTGATAAGCACAAGTCCTACCTGTACGGATGTGTGTAAAATGCTACATTTATCCCGTATATGTAAATAGATATATTGCTTTTTTATCAATTCATACTTCTATATATTTCAATAACGTTACTTCCCTATTCCATTCGGAATTTACGTTCAATGTTAAAGTGAGATTTATAAAGAGAAAGTGGATTATTTAAATATTTAAGATGTCGATATTTTTTAAAAGTGTTGTCTTTGTTATTGCTTTCACTAATTTTAAAGGTAATAAGTCTGCTGTTATTTCGAAGTCACTTTAAATTGTATAAAAGTATATTTATTGTTTATCGCCATCGTTCAATTGTGCAACTTTTAACTGATATTTTACGTGCGTGCATATGTTTGTGGATATCTTTATGTTTAGTACTCTATTTTGTTTATAAATATTCCTGTACTACTTTATTTATACAATATCTTTCATGTGCATCTCTATATATTATTTTATATTGATCCAAACCTTCTTGCATTCATTTTTATTCTCATTGATTGTTTAATCTTTAAATTTAATGAGTGCAAGCAATTTTCCCGTTACAAACTATCATTGAGATAGAATAAAGAATAGGGTTGCATTTTACTTCCACGTTTCATATAAGATTGAAAATACTATAAAAATACTGTATTTATTTCAACTGTTACGTTTACAGTAACTGGTGCGGATTTCACTCTTAACAGGGAGAGAGTTTTACTAGGCAGCACAGGAACATTAACTATGACATGTGGTATCACTGAATCAGATGTTGATACTATTTACCTTATACAGATACAAAGACTTAAATCAACTACACTATCTGGATCAGATCCTAATGATTGGCAAACATTAGCATTAATGGAATATGGTACAGATGAAAGTCCTACGTTAACCGATGATATTGCAGCTGTCGCAACTAGTAAAGATTATGTTGCTGGAGGATCATGGAATTCTGACACACCTGCTAGCACAGTTCTGACACTGTCTATGAACATGAAGAAGTTAGTTTGTGATGATGCAAGGTATTATAGATGTGAATTGACATATAAAAGCTCCACAACACAAACAAGTACTGATGTTAAAAGGAATGCCACTTTTTCAGCATATGGTAAGTTTTATGTGATTTTGAAAATGCCCAGAAAATCTCTTCACATTTAAGACAGGTTGAAAATTTGATAAGACTTCATTAGATGGTTACATAAAAAAATTAATTTCAATAATACAATATATTAAATTGGTAAGAAATATGTTTAGAAGTGTTTATAATTTTGCTGTTTTATGGTGTGATTTCCATTTTGTGTTTAAAGGGAAAGGCAATGTATATTAGTATAAATGAAAAATCAATATCAGGAAAGCAATACTATAAATAGTGCTTGCTGTGCTCAAATAATTATATTAAACGTCATGTTTGAATATTGGCCGTTTAAGCGTATGGAGGTTATTCGTTGCCAAAAATTCAGCCTTGTTGATCTAAGTTAAATTGTTTGTTTACGGACAAAATACAATTGTATTTCTTATATGTTTATTCCAATGTTGCAATCTTGGATTGTCATTGCAGATTTTTACATTGTAAACATTATTTCAACAATATACATCTTGTTCAACGATGAAACATTAACTTGTTTTCTGAAAGTAGCAATCAATACCCAATAAATGCGGAATACTGATGGTTCGTGTGTACGCTCATTTTCGAAATTTACCGTCAGCGACTAGTTCTCTTTCTGTGGTCTGAGATCACAAGAAAGCAAGAAAAGAAGAACACGTACCGGCGTTATTCCCGCTTATTACCACACATTCCAATAAGACCAGCGCGTTTTCTCTGAAAAAGTTAAGCGCGAAACATCACAGTATGATGGTGACAGTGCGACAGTATGATGGTACGGTGACAATACGACAGTACGATGGCGAAGCATGACAACACATTGGTAACAGTCCGTCGTATTGTGGTATTGTCACCATCGTACTGTCCTACTGTCACCATCGCACTGTCAAACTGTCACCATCGTAATGTCGTACCGTCACAATCTTACTGTCGTACTATAACCATTGTTCTGTCGTACTGTCATTATCGTACTGCCGTATTGTCAGCATCGTACTTTCGTACTGTCGCCTTCCTGTTAGACATGCGCAAAATCAAATAAAAACATGGAAGAAAAAATTGGCCTAACATACACGTAAATTCTTGTATTGATGAGAGTAGTTTGAAATTAAAGTTGATAAAAATAATTCAGGTATTTCAATTATACATAATTTCTAGATTAGGCCTGTCTGTTGAAATACAAATTTTGAAGACACAGGTGTACATTTTTATCATAAAGTTCTTTATTTATGTAGATAGATTTTAATTCTGTTAACTTTCGATTTCCTTGATAGTTGATCTTTGATACAGTAAAGAGTTTTTCATAAAACGACGGTATAAGTTTCGCAAGCCATGTTGAGTGAAATATTCGCTCGACAGGGAGGCGACAGTACGATGGTGACAATACGACAGTACGATGGTGACAGTACGACAGTGCGATGGTGACATGATGATAATAGGATGGTTTGACACCATCGTACTGTCACCACCATACTGTCTTATTGTCACCATCGTATTGTCGTCTTGTGATGTTTGGCTCTTTTCGTTCTAAGAGAAAACGCGCTGACCTTTACGGAACACCGTATTTCAAGCTAAAATATTTGGAGCCTTAAGGTGTTTGAAGCAAATCATGACAGTTTTTCACCAAACAGTATTCACTTGCGTGATTGCCATTCTATGCCTTTATTCAATCAACATCAGCGGACTTAAAATGTTTATAGGCCTATAAGTTTTGAAGCGTTGTACCCCAAGTTATCATTTCCGATCCAACCTTTAAAGGGGTTGCTTGAGGGTAAATAGTTTTCAAAGAAGTTAAAACTATTATTATTACTGTATTCAACATGCTTTTTTTAAGGACAAATACATTTACTGAAGGGATTCCAACTTGCAAAGGAATCAGTAACATTGACAGTTAGGCTGCTACCTTACCACTTTAAAATTTTCAAGTCAACATCTGATAGAGATTTTGCTACGGCGAAATATTAAAACAGACCAAATTCTGGCTGCTACATTTCCCAGTAGTAGCATTTACTATTACATTAGTAACCTTAATACTAGCTTGTGACTTGACTAAAAAAACTTTTAACAATAATAGTAAATTTAAAACCAATCTACCCCTTCGTACATACCTTTTTATTTTTACCATACTGTTAAGATACATTTGGTCCATTTTACCCATTTTTTTCAATAGTAATATTAAAATGAGTCCAAAGGTATCGACTTGTGAATACCTTGTTTATTTTTATCACTTACAAAAATTGATAAAAATATTTTGTGTGGTATTTCTCGTACACAAAAATAGTTATCTGCTTTTGATCAGAAAGACAGCAAGTCTATGTAACAGCTATTAACAGTATGTATACACAGATCTTTGAGCTGTCCATGATTTAGTGAAATGACTAAAAAGGGGTTCGCTGAAGACGTTAAGCTATATCAGCTTACGTATATTTATTGATAAAGGGCTAAATCATATCCTTAGAATCAAAATATTTCCCAAAAAGATGTAAACAGAGATACAAGGACACACTGAATATTTATTTCAACATTAAAGTGGGATAAATTCAAGAGCTTTTGGTTACACTAAGGAATTATCAATACATGTAGTAAACTTTGTATATTTCCATGGTTATACAGTTGGTCAAAAATTTAGGTTCTTCTACAACCAAATATAGTCCTTAAAAGAAAGAAGGCACATACTTACTGTTCAGTTCTCTTTATTTATGTTGCCATGTATCGCATTCTAGAACTGCCTGCTGAATGTAAAATAATGACTAAGGATACTTCGTGAATATATTTCTGAATCACTTTTGTATTGCTTGATAATCCTGTGCTAGAATACGTTTTAACAAAGCCAGAGCATATTCAAAGTCAACTGTAATGCAGTTGATGTATGTGAACAGTTTTATTCAATTTGAAATATTTTTGTACTCATTAATTTTGTACAGTAAGAGTTGCCTCTCTTTATATTCTGCTCTCGTGAAAATTGGCTCCGTTTTTAAATCTTCGTCTATTTCCGTGATGATGCAAATATTCCGTAGGGTTGCAAATCGTTTACAAAATTATTCTCAATTGCGTTAGAGTGTAAAAGGAAGGTGTGACGTTGTCAACCTGAGAGTGTCAACAGATGCTTTAACATTCTCAACGTCACGATGTACGGCATTAAGCGTGTTGTGTACGTTCTATCGTTTACATTTCGCCATATCGCTTCTAAATACAGTTTGTTATACATTTCTAAATACAGTTTGCAATTTATCTTAGTTGTATGTTACCAGCGTTCATTTTGTCAAATCGAGATAATCAAAACGCATAATACCAGTGTAGTATGTAACTTTCGAATCAACAATTAGATTTTTACTTATCTGTTTAGTAGAACCGAAAGTATGAATTGTCAAGTTTCAAAGGCTTGAGTTTTGGCAACGAGTAGCCTCAATATAAGCGTAATGTCATAAACCAACATATTGCAATTAACGATTATATCATAAATAACTCTCGTATCGACACGAAAGATAAAGATATTTACAAATATAGACCAGAAAAATCAATTTAACCATGGTATTGTAAAAAAAATATTAGACCAGACGGGAAATACTTTTGTTTGGGACAATAAAAAAATCTTAGATTTACAAAACATACATATTTTGATTGATAAATCACTAATTGACAAATGTTTACAAGATTGGAACAGCAAAATGAATATATCTTCAAAAATTATATTGAATTAGAAAAGTACCATACCAATCAAATTAAGAATATCTATATTTAAATTTCGGGCAGGAAACAACCGTTTACCGGTCGAAGTGGGGAGATGGAGGCAATCTTTTGTTCCGCTCGAGTCTAGAAAATGCACGTTATGCTCTTTAAATGATCTAGGAGACGAATATCACTTTACCCTAGTCTGTCCATTTTTATCTCATTCCTGACAACTATATATATATATACCCCGTCAAATTTTATATAAGGCCAAATTCATTACTTTTCAATGAATTACTTAATACAAATTCAAATAACCTTTTTAAACCAATCGCTTATTTTTTTCACAATAATTCTTAAAGCACTGCAATAACTTTCACTTTAAAAATTGCTATTTGTTGAGGTTTTTTTTCAATGCGATAATTAGAACTAAAAACACACTTTCTCCCTTTTATGCGTGCTTTTTTATTGACCGAATTACGCAAATCATTAATATTACGCGAAAGGAAATAGATCTAGTAAATCATACTTTTTTTCTTTTATTTTACTTCTTTCTTTAAATATCAGAATAAGCATTCCAAGTCCAATATTTTTTTCATACTACCAACAACTATTTCTACGATACCAAATAGGATTAGAATTCTATACCTATGTACCTGAATTAATGTCAAGTTCATTTAGCCAGGTGAACTGTTTCAATGTCTAAATTCAGACTGACATGTGAATTTAATCCTTCATTGTTTAATTACTATTTCAGTACAGTACTAGAATATATTTTACTATATAGCGTATTCAAGCATACGAGTATGTCTGGCAATCAACAATATATTGACGATTTAATCATGTTATTGTCATGCTTAACTGATTCAATTCACAAAGTTAACGCTTTATAACCCATGGTAAACTACAGGTATAATGTAGGTTAACTTTAAAAATGTTTATTTTATTTTACACACAGGGGCTTCTGTCATTTGTTTCTTTATGATATAACAAGGGATACAACTCAAAATTGCTCAATTCATAAACGCAGTGTACGACTGCTGTTTTACTTTTGATTGTTGGAAATTCATGAAAGCATCGATAATTTCAAAACAAAAAATGCCTCACTTTGATACATGGACAAGATATTATTGAAAATAACCTTCCGTGTTTTATTTATACACACGTTCGTTAAAATTCGGTTTGTAAAGTTATACGTGTAAAACGATATCAAATGCAAACGTATTGTCATTTAAGAAATTTTAATCATGTAATTGGTTAAATATCAATCATCCACCATAATCAATGATATAATCATTAATTTCTAGTACAAATTATTCTAATCTTCGACTTCCCTTTTAAATATTGCCGTATGTAAACCCAACTTCTATTAGTGACTGTCAGTTTCATTGGCTTATGAATAATAATAATAATAATCCGGATAATAACGGCGTATGTCCACCACTAAAAAGGGGGTTTTTATCAGCCAATAAAAATACTCCCAACATAAACGCACCTGCATAAGGGGCGACAATTTGAAAGTCAATGTAAATATTGAAATATTAGTAATTTCCTGTAGTTACTGGTTTAATGAAGAGTTTGTAGTAGAACTTGGGTAAAGACAGGTTCATATATTAACTTCTACAATAATTTTCATGGAATAGAGGATAGTTTATACAGTTTACACATGTGAATGCAGTTTACGAATCCGTTCTAGTATTGCGAGGCCACGACTAGTATCCCTTTATTAAATATATTTCATTAAATCAAGTTTACATTTAATTTAGTTAATTGTTGTTTACTTGAGTACATTTAGATGTTCCATCATTGTCCAATGCTAATAAACAGTACCTTATTTAAAACCTTGTTTTCTGTCATGTTCTTCTGTATATGAGCCAGGCATGAATAAACTTATATGTTGTTGTTGTTATTGTTGTTATAAAATACATAAATCAATTGATGCAATAAGGTAACAAATGCACCAACAAAAATGGCATGTTAATGATTGAATGGTGATAGTAATCCGAATAAAAAGTTTTCTAAATAGTAATTAAATACTAACAGTTAGAACTTCATTTAAAGATGTGTGAATGTAGATTCTTTGATGTACATTTTACAAAAATATTAGCGACTACTTTGAAGAGTAAATAGTGCACCTGTCGATCAAAGGTCAATTGTGTGATATCTATTTACATTTTACGTTTAGAACTTTAAAACATTTTTTTCATATAATTTTGTTTCGAAAATTTTGGTCATTGTTGATGTCATAGCATGTCGATAAAGGGTATACATATATTACTGGCATTAGTTGAGTTTATACGCAGAAAAATATATATGACTGGCACTGTACACGATACACATATACAAAGGACACAAAGTGTTTCAAAATGAAATGATTTTTATCAATTGGAAGGAGTTCCCCATTCATTTAATTACAATACCAAAATTAAAATGACCAGGTAAATCAAATCGTTTAACAGCCATTGCTTAAATCCTGTGGTCAGGAATCATCAGCAAGCTTGATCATCCGACCGGTGTTAAAAAATGTCGAGGCTTATACGTTAATGCAGTTCAGTCTTATTCTTTTACGAATGGGAATATGTTTTCATACACTTTATTTAGTATGATATATATTATCAAGAAATAATTGAATGGACGATACTGGTAATTAAAAAGTGGACGAAATAGCTCTCAATTATTCACAAAACATCCATATTATGTCTGAAACATTTGGTTATTTTAATAATGGTAGTAACATTTACTTCTTTTGTATATTTTTGGAGAAAAATTGTCAACGCAGTTTTGTACAATCTCTTTAATACATATATGTATGTGAATGTGATATACTGTATGTAATAAGAATTCTTAGTTGTTCATCAAGATATATTTTTATACCAGTGTACGCTACTATACAATAAGTGGGTATAATAATACGTCAAAATCTCGGTCTCGTCTGTCTTGCGAGGGTAAAAGAGTGTAAAAAAGGCGGCACCAGTGAACTTTCACTGAAGTAATAATTAGTGTGTGAAAAATACATTTTTGTTCTGTAATATGGTTGATTTCAACAGAATAGTGCCACGGTACCTCTTTTTAAAAGACAGGTATTGATATAAGATAAACATCAATATATCCGTTCCTATTCATTATCATTTAAAATTGAATGAGGCTATATTTCTGCTTAAACATTATTGTTCGAATAGTAAAAATGAATACTACCAAAATGAAATAGAATTGGTAGTCAATTGCCAGATAGTGAATGGCTTATGAACAAAAATCACTGCTAAACGCAACAATCGTACTTAAAATGTCAGAACAATATTTATTTTCCGCAACATCTTATTTTCGGTTTGTATCATATTCATTTGTGTTAAATAACAGATACATTTTATGTTATTACTATTTTGAGAAACAACCATTATGGTTATTATGAATTACTGTTGAAATATTAATGAAAATGTTTTCAAAATGTTGAATAATAAAGACAACTCAAGTAGAATTAAGTAAATAAATATCGTACAAGTTTCAACTATACACTCTTCTTTGGTATGAACATTATTATATTTTATATATTTATATCTTTTACACATTATAAGTTAAATAACATTATTTAAAGAAGAACACCTTAAATTAGAATCTGGAAGAGAAAGTAGCACTAGAAAAGTGTCTGTTTTATTTTAATATGTTTACTTAGTACAATGACTACATAAAAATATAGCTTTATACATTTCATTACATGTAAATGATTTTTGCTGTAACATTCCAGTAAAACCTCAAGTGACATCATTAGTTGTAAAAAGAAATGGTTTTATAGTAGAAGGAATGTCACCATCTAACATGGCTACTGCTGAGGTAGGAGATGAGTTGGAACTTACATGTACTGCTAATATAGGAAGCTTACCAGGGACTAGTATTCGATGGCATAGAACATCTGAAACTTCTCAAAATGATGACTTTATTGGCTATCAAGCACCACAAGGAACATATGATGAGGGCACTGCAGTCAGTGACAATCAGTGTGGATATACACGAGTAGCTACAACCAGATACAACACAACAGCAGCTGATGCTAATAGGGATAACAATCTGGCATTCGAGTGTTATGTTACAGTTAGTGGAGATCCGTATGGGAACTCGTATACCTCAGAAAACAATCCGAGATTTTATACTGATGTCAGTAAGTGATCGTTTTAAGTTTCATTTCTCTCTGTGAATGTAAAATATGTAAATACAGTTTAACCAGGTTTTCTTCAGAAAACATTGGTAAGCCTCTTTAAACGAAACTAAAATCTAACGAAAATATTTTCATAGATTTTTTATAACAGTCAAATAATTTTGTTTTAATAATCTTATGGTCAATTTTTAAAAAGAAACTTGTTACAGAGTAACTGCGCACAGTAGGGTTTGTACAATCTTAAATTAGAACCGTCTTCATGTAAACCCACTTATCATTTAAACACTGCCTATGGTGGCATATTTCTGCCAACAGTTAACCATATAATTATAACGTTTAACTTAACTATCTGAATAATTGGTTAGATTTCTAGTTATCACTTTAATTTATCATTTAATTAGACATTTATCAGACTAACTAGATTTTTTTTTCTGTTAGAAAGATAAGTTACAGAACAAAACAGAACATATACTGACTTGGGCTCAACACAAATCATCATAACATACATAATATTATACATGCATATTTATTACATTGTATCATAGTTTGGAGACCTTTCTGTTGAAAATGTGTCAGGGTTAAATCGTATACATATACATGCACAGTGCGTTAACTGGAGTGCGGGTATTAGTTACCCGCACTCCAGACCATGCCCATTGATTGGCTCATTTTTGCTGGGGTTTACATATTGTGACGGCAGAGAAAGGGAAAGCGACAGAAATATCATATTCAGATGTTCGTTCATTGGTCCATTTTTGCCGGGGTTTCATATTGTGACAACAGAGAACGTGTTTTTATGTTTGACTATGATACAAAAGAGAAAGAACACCAAAACACTCGGCAATCTGATTAATACTCGGGGGCTACGCCCCTTCGTACAAATCAGCCTTGTGTTTCGGTGCTCTTTCTATTACATGTATTACAATGTTTAAATCGGCGTAGACAAATAAACAAATTAGTTAACTTACTGTGTTTTTATATAGTTGAAATATCAGATTTGACAATGCAAAGTGTTTCGTGTTCAAATATTAACAAATTAATATGACATGCAAAATTCATAACACGCCATGAAACAAACAAATTTTAATAGATATTCGGAAAAATTAATCATATCATAAGATTTCTACTGAATTTGTTTGTTTGTTATAATTACTTTCTTACTTTCAGCTAAACCAGGTGATGGAATGACAACCAATACTATGATTACAACAGGTATAAATTCAAAACAAATTAAAGCTCTTTGAATAGCCTCTGTACGGATGAATATTACTATGTGTTAAGTCTATATTGAGAAAGTAAATATTATGATCTTGGTATGTTTTAAAGACCCTGTATGTTGTAATTAAGGTTGTAACCACACTTTAGTGGAATTTTTATATGTATATAATTATGCTTCTAAAACAATTTTCAAACAGCGGAGAATATGTTAAATATCTACTGCAAATATTTGTCCACGTTATATGTAATCATTAAACTGTATGCATTCATTTCTTATTTAAAAAATGACTTAGAATTTATTAAAAATAAATGTCTAAATTACCTCCCTTTACTACAATGACATGTAAATTCGGTAATATTTTTTACAAGTAATGTTTTTTTGAACTTACAATATTGAAAAAAATCCTGATTTGAGCATCAATATTTATGATATAAAACCATAAAAAATGAGTTAAAGGATCTCTTAAGTTCGTGTCTTAAATTCTTGAGATCATTTTATTTAATTCGTCACTTTGATTTAATTTTTAAACCGACTCCTCAAAAATTCTTGCGTCTCAACACTATTAGATAGAAGTTATAATCGACTATAGACAGATCCTTAGACGAGGGACATTCATTTCTTAGAATAGGGCTTGTTTTGTACCAATGCATTTCTATTGGCAAATATGGAATTGATATAACAGCCAAAAACAGGTCTAAGGAATAATATAGTTCCAACATTAAGTTTTTCGTTGTATACGGAAATTAAAGACTGATGACTAAAACTAAATAAAACAACGTTTGTTTCATTCTACTTATACTTTCATATTGCAAAGTGTATGATGAAAAAGCTTAATTTCTATATCGTAAGTTTTTTTTGCAATTTCAACCAATGAAGAAACAGTCCTCTGAGTGAGTATTTCAAACTCAAATAACAAAAGTCAATTAAATAACAGAAAACGTTTCAAAATATAATAATTAATCTAATCAATATTAAAAGAAACGGCTGTAAACTATTTTATTTTTAATATAACTAGCATTTTTCATGGAATTTGTCCAGCGTATGCATTTGTTAGAAAATTATTAGTAAGTGAATATAATACATCAAAGATGATATATATATATATATAATCTATATTCCAAGAATACTCCATAGCCAAAAGTTCTTGAATAAGCATTAACAAATTTGGAAAAATAAGCGATACCACCAAATGTTCTTAAACATCAAAAATACAAATCGAACTGTTTTTAATAATGGTTAAATTATCATTTAAACGAATATCGAATGTTGAGTTGAATGTTGATTGTCTAGCTCGACTTTGAATGATTGACATTGTTGATTGTCCTGCAAAGTTACTGTTCATTGTATGTGGTTTTCATACACTTAATACTGTACTTTAAGAATGGTTTTGTTAACGGCAAGCCATTTTCAAACCAATATTTATATTATTGTCATTGCAGATAAAAACGAGGAATGTTTGACAGCGGGAGTTATTGCTGCAATTGTGATTGCCTCTTTTACAGCCGGTGTTTTAATCGGTGTGGCGTTAACATGGCTGAATCTAAGTAGGAAACAAATAATGAAAGGTACTTTAAATTAATTGAATAACATTTTTTGTGATTGTCTTTATTTGCTTTTTAAAATAAATGTTTAAGAAATGTTGTGGTATGGGCTGCATGTGCAAATTAATAAATGGATACTAATGACATTGAATAAAATTGAATGAATAGCGAATACTCTCAAATATGTTTAAAGAATCAAGAATACATCTTGCGACTGAAATGTTGTTAAATTCTAAAGTTACAGAGATCTCAATGCTTGCTTAAATAGTGATTAAGTATACAAACACGTAGCACCAATTATAATTTCTAGATTTACTTGTTACTAACTTAAGCAAAGTACACAATCACGCTTTTATACTACTTTACCATTTGGTGCATTCTTCCCCAAATTTGCACTAGATATTTAGTTTTAAATGATGTCATAACAAATGTCATTATATATGGATCAGCTTCATTAAAAAAATGTATTTTTATGAAAAATTACATAAACAAAACAAGAAAGATTAAAACAGAGTCTTTATATACTTTGTATGTACAAACAGGTCGGACGGAGCAAAGTCAGCATCATACTACATCAATATCCAGAGAAACAGAATTAAACGTTGCGTCACATTTACCGTAAGAAACCTTCAAATGTTTGTTTGTATTGATAAAAATGTGAATTATTGTTTTCTCATGGTTTAAGTCACTCATATTTAGTTATTCTTAGTGTGAACAAAATTGATATAGAAGAAATATAGGAATACTACACACATTATAAAATCATTCCAAATGAATATTCTGATATGCTTTAGAAAAATTACAGAATAAAGATAATTGTCAAACATATTCGAAATCCGGTTGTTGTAAGCATCAACACTCAATTAACTGATATAGTGACCAAAATTGCAAAGAAAAATATTGTTTTAACTAATAAAATATTATTCTATATCTAGAAATACCTATGAACAACTTCAAAACAGAGCCGATACTGAAAATAATTTGGCTTATGATTCCCTACATGGTACGTAAATTATGTTCTTACTGTGAACAACTTCCCTTCCTTGTATTTATCATTTGACATGTTTTCGTTTGCCTTTTATTTATCTGTAAATTTAACTTTTTCATTATCGATATGATGTCAAATTGATTGATTTTTTTACATTTAATTTGAGATTGTATATTGAATCAGTTCATTTTTTTATAAATGACATAACATGTATACTTTTGAAAGTTGTCTTCCACTCAACCTTGAGATCGTGAGTTCTAGCTCTACTAATATAAGGTCACGACTAAGATTTCTCAAATGACTCCAATACTGGTTAGTTTCAGGTAGTGGACGGGAAAATTATTAATATGAGTTTCATTAAAATGTTTCACAAAAACTTTATCTTGCTGTATGACCTGTACAGTGTTGGTCAACCAAAACTGAAAACCAAAATAAACTAACAAACAAACGAAAGTCAGAAAACGAATGCTTCTAACTCAATGCTTCTTACCTTTTAACTGTTATAATATTTGATTGTCTTGATTTGCTATCTACTTTTATATAGATAAAACATGAACGGACTAATGAGAAGATAAGTGTTTTGTATTAAGTAAAATGTATTTTCATTTTCGGGTATTGTTTTTATCAATTAATCAAAAATTCAATTTTATTACATAGATTGTAAGGGTATTCATTTGCAAATGAAACACCGAGGATTTTCTGTTGACAGTGGCAAGATCAAGAATCATGTAAAATGAACGGTTTAATTATTGCTAATTTGCCTATTTTAAGAGCTGTGGAAACGTTTGGATTTGTCATAACATTTACTTTATAAAAGCCTACTATAACATATAGAAATTCACAATGCAGTTGCCCTTTGTTACGTACTTGATAAAAATTTGTTAACTAATATTCTGTTTCATATAATATTTCAGCGAATACCAGTGCAGCACAAGACAGGTAATGATATATAGAAAGTGTACGAAAATATTTGAACCATGGAATGTCATGTGCTTTCAAATATAAAATAAGATGAATGCTGCTACTAAATGTATTGTTGTATGTATTGTTAAAATAATCGTAATTGATACTTGGTTCATCTTATTCTTATCCTAAATTTTGCTATTTATGAAGAAGCATTTGGAAATATTTAATCAGTCAGATTATGTGCAACGCTAAAGAAAGGTTTTGAAAAAGTTCTTTAAATAACATACATTATTGTCATAAAATTATTGTAATCTTAACTTTTTTAAAACGTTTTCCTCTTTAGTAACGTGTCATTTTTAAAACATTCATTTATATGACTACTTTCAGCCAGTCACAGTATGAGAGTCTCAAACAGGGAGCAGGGACATCTCACACTTATGCAGGTCTAAAATACAACCGATGAAATTGTTTGCAGATTTGATAGGACTGCCTTTACTTTATTTGAAGGACATACAAAAACAAACTGTAACACAAATGTTTCTTGACATATTATATATCTATCGTTTATGTCGATATTAACTTGTTCATAGTTGTACAGGTTAGACTGAACAATAAATTGTAACATTACCTATTTTAAATTTCTCGTTCTAAGGAAAAGCCGGTTTTGAATGAGTTTTATTACTGGTTAGTTTTTATTGCCGTCACAAATATTCTAACAGGCAATGTTTATTGCAAATCAAATTGAAATTTATCTCTTGACATTTATTTTGTATGATTTGTTATTGCTTATTATTATTATACATTCAAGTATTTTTTGTCATCATATATTTTGAGCATAAATATATTTTGTGTATCTCTGGTATTCCAATTACATCAATATTGTTGCAAAATGGATATAAGAAACCATGCGCAAACATCGATATTGTGATATCCAGACAATATTTAAAGTAGTATGTTGCAGTTAAGCAAAAAAGACATATTTATATATAAAGGCATATTTACTTGTCAATTTGTAAGTGAATATACTTTCACACGGATGTTAAAAACATATAAATAATGAAAGACAATGGTGTCTATCGGAACGTATACCTCATTCCGTTAAATACTCTACTACTTCATTTAAACTGTTTAGATATATAAACATAAAATTAACTCAAGTGTGCTGTTTAGTTCACATGCTGGAACGTTATCATTGCTGGAACTTTGGTGTATATTTTGAGCACGTTTGTTATGGTAGATACTTTGTAGTCCACCCAGGAGGGGATCGATTTTCTATAAGTTGGATATCCGAAATTTTCCTGTATAGGTGTTACAAATTAAATGTTGCAAGATGAAATATAAATATCTCTATAAACCCTATAATAAATTTATTAACGCTGGTGCTTAAACTTGTAGATCTCTATGCAACTGCCTATTTACAAAAAATGAACAGAACACAACCACAAAGTGCTTAAAAACTGGCGAACACTTTGTACTGTCACTTATATTTGAATTACAGTTATATACTACAGATATGAAACCAGCCTGTTATAGTAGGTATTTCCGTACAATTTGCCAAGCCTTAAGTTATCTCGATGAAAATACATATATTTTTTAAAGTGAAACTTTTATGAGTACATTTATGACGACCCTCGTACACGACACAATTGATTATTAATTGACGCGTTTTAAAAAATCAAACTTGCTTATCTTTAAGGACGCTCTAAAATGTTTAATCATTAAACGATGTCGAAAGAATTACCACTGTCACTCTGTCACTGCTTCGGACAGTATTTCATCAACACGACATTATCTTTTATACGTTACGCACCACACCAAAAGTTAAGATACAGAAATGGTTATAAACAGGAGAACAAGTAGAGAAGCAGGAAGCTGATCGTACCTTTAAAAATATTCATTGATTAAAGTGACACAAAACTCGTATTGATATCAAATCATCATTTATTTCTCATGTCCCTCAATACAAAATTATACTCAAAACTAATTTTCAATGAAAATCTTTGATCGCCCAGCAGCAATTGCATTCACCTTTTATTCAATCTTGGATATACTAACAACAGTGCGTTGTTTGTTTTAACTTTGGTTGTGACTGACCGGGTACATTAAACTTGAAAAGTTACAAAACGCAGTAAACTGAAGTTCAAATACATTATGTGTAGCTACGAGTTCCTTCCCCTTGCAATAAGTTAGAAAGAAAGGAAACGAGACAAAACTATTCGATGATTTTGTAGTGCAATAAACATATAGATTAGCCCGATCTGACGGGGGAACACTTTGTAATTACAGAAAACGATGAAATAATTAAATAGATAAGAATGGCATTTACGTTATTATTCAGATAAAATGTATGATGAAAAATAACATATGTGTTATTATTAGTCCCTTGTTTTTGCTCCATAATTGTCTATTTCTTCATTTCTTTCGCTTATATTTTTCCTTAAATAATCAGTGTGTATCCATTTTGCGTATCTGCTTAATATCTACAACTTAAAAATTATTCTGGTTCAAATCTTACAGGTAGTGTAAAAACAATATGTTTTTGTCTTTTTGTTCAGTTTGATTATGTTTTGAATTTACTTTTATAAATTGTAATAACTGAAAGAGGACTCTCATAAGATTAAAAACTTTCTTCCAATTGTAAATGTTTTACATTTTCAAAATTAAATGTTGTTTAAAATATTTTTTAAAACCCAAAAATTTTTCCCTAATCAAATTTTTCAAAATTTAAAAAATAAAAGATTCAATGCATGAAGACATTTTTGGTTTTTGAAAAAAAGGGGTCATTTTTGGGTTTCATTGGGGTTTCCCAATTCCCCTAACATTTTTTAAAAAATAGTAAAATGAAAACAAGTTTTTACGAGGATATAACACTGGCTAGGGCGTCATCGAGGAGATGTTTCTGCTTAATAAAATGTCGAGGCCTTTAGGCAATCCCTGCAATTTCATAATTCTTTGGATTAGAAATCAACAAACAAACAAAACGAAAACGACAAAACAAAAACATGTGCGCTTCTCACTCATGTGCCCTTTCACTTTTGTTTTAAATGGAAACCGATATTAAATGAATCAATAACAGCTAATGATGTCATAACCTACCTTTCAGCTATGTATGATAAAGAAGTTGTTTGAAGTTATTTTCGCTGCTGCCAAAACAAAAAATAAACAGGAACAAACAAACAAGAAAAAAAGAAGAAAAAAAAAGATATACACCCCTCAAGTGTAAGTTTAAGACTTCAAATGTTAGAGACGAATTGTAACCTTTTATCTTGTGGAGAGAATAATGTTGATTCAAGATTTTAGGGTGTTTTCAGTGGAATAAATTCATTCGGCGGATGTACCTTTTGATTTTAGCAGCTGTCGATATATATAAGATTTTTTATCTATATTTATTTATTTACTTTTGTTCGTTTACAATGCCCCATTGGAGCTTCTGTGAAAAAACTACACTAATATATACAAGGTGGGGAAAAACTCAACTGTTATCTATATATTAGTTTTTAAGTTTTTTTTCTTATATGAATAAATGAAAAAAATGCACTGTTATATATCAATACAGTTTTCAAATGAAAATTGAAAGTATACTGAGTACAATGGATTAGTAAAGAAGAACAAAGAAAAAGTTCCAAACCATGCGATAATAGCATATATTCACAAGCGTAACAATGTGCGGTTCGAAAATCATTTATGGTTATCAATATAAGAAGATTCCTACCCCGGACACGATAATTCTGCAGAAAAAGATATCGTGTCTTCGCCTATTAAAATATCGTTATTTCATCTAAAGTATATCGTGGCGAAAACACAAAGACACGATAAGTGAGCATATTATCGTGTCTTTGTGTCTTCGATTCGACATTTGAGGGAAGAAGACACGAAGGACACGAAATGCCAGCAATCAGTAACCATAAAACAAGGTTTAAGCATCCAACAGAATGTAATATTAAACAGTTAAAATCAGATTCAGTCTGAAATACTCATTTATAGATATTCTAATAAAACTGGAAAATATAAAATAGTTACATAAAAATAAGTTGACTATCACATTGCAGGTTAATATTTAAAATTTTTATTTGTGACAATGTGACAAGGTAGAACATTTTCGACCACGATAATCTTCAAAAGTAAGCATGTCTCAAATAAAAAAAACAACTTACTTATATTTACATACATCAATCGATCTACACAAATACGAACGATAAAAAATTAACAGGAATCAAATAGTGTTTGAGAAAAAAATAAAACAAAGCAACAAATGTTAAGTGTTTTAAATAACTCATAAAGGGTGAATAGCATAACCCATAATATATAAGAAATATCTGATTGACTTCCTTCCCTTGGTCTAATGTTAACGTAGCTGTCCCATCGTCAAATAACATTTAAAAACATTCTTTAGACAATTTATATTTTTCAAAGGTGTTTTTTTCTGTTAATAATATGGACGTTTCAATACTTGTATATAACATTTACATTTTATAAACGGCGTAGATTGTAATCTATTATGTCTTTAAAGATATATGTTCAACCTTGAGTAAACTACTTTAATCAAAGAAATTTATGGACATATATGAAATTCTTACTGAGTAAGTCATTTTAATCAAAGAATGAATAAACTATGTATGGGTAACTGCATTTGATTTTACAGGTTAAGTAAAATTCATTTTTTTTCTTTAAAAAAAACTGCCAGTCGTTTTAAAGACACTACAAATGTAAAGCAACACCATGGTTCAAAATCACCTCACCAGCTGGAATAAAAATTCCATGGACGCCATTGATTTGAATTCATTTAATTCTTTTTACAAACATGAAGGGATAAATGGTTAATGCAATTTTCATGTTAACGTTTAAATGCAGCCCAGAGCCACAAGTGGGGAGTTGTTACGAACAATCACTGACGCCAGAAAAACGGTGTGGCCTTTCCGCTTTGGAATGCGAACATGCAGAAACACAAAGATAGATAAAGTGAAAGTGTGTTGAACCTTTGTCGATTTCGCATTTCCTTCGGGGAAAAAGCCCAAAATACAGTGTATAGAAAATCAGCCACAACTGTAATAGGTGCGTTTTTAAAAAATAATTATAAGATGCGCAATGAATATGTTTTAAGACAAATAAAATAATATAAGTCAAAACGATACTCATTTTGTTAAGATTATTTCCAAAGATTTACTGAACAGTTTGAAATAGATAATTAAATTCAACACATTTTGAAACCTCGAGATAAAGTTTTAAACTTGATTTAAAAAACGTCTTGTGATGTACGGTACTTTAATAATTGGCATATCCAAATTGTTAAAAAAAGATGAAATACTTTAATTTATTTGAACTCACCTTTCTGTCTTAATGAATGAGCCTTATTATAAAGACGTATCTTTAAAAAAGATACTCGGCCGAAATAAAACTGCAAAATTATGTGATTTCTTGATATGTTAATATTTTTATTTTGGGGGAAAAGGGTGTTGTCGTTTTATACGTATAAATAAACAACATTTTGACATATTTTAGCATATCGATGTCTATTAAAAGGATGTCTCTTAACTTATATTTTATATAATTTATTTAGCTGTCCCAATTACTTGTTTGTACGTTTGTCTTTATAAATTTTGTAACCATATGCAATATTGTCAGTATTATAATAAAATATGTTCTTTCACATTAATTATTTATTAACTAATCATAAATGTTATAAGAAAAAATCAATCACTTTATAGGAATAGCAAAAACACAATGAATATTTATTTCTATAAACAAACATATGTATCGACGACATGTATGAAAAGTATACTTATAATGATGTAAGTATATGTGTCCGTGCACTTAACATTAAATTTTCTGAAGAAAGTTATCATGTAAAATCCTAGGTCAGTAATCCATTTTCTCCAATTCACATGAACATTTCTGTGGTTCCATGAACCACTACCCATTTCTTCTGGATACATCGTCTTAACATAAATAAAAATTAAAAAGGTTATAAAAATACTCCACATTTAGAACTACTTCACTCATACTTTGTGTCCATATTTGTGAAGACAATAACAAAAACTGACATCTCGAAAAAAAATTAGAACCTCATTACATTTTTGTTTTAAAAACAAAGCTGTGATAAAGCGTGGGTTGGTGGGAAGGTAAATTCAAATAAACGTGTCGTTCAAAAGCTCCGATAGTGATAACACGCCGTTACTCACTATTTATACTAATTGTTTGCTGTTTACTTGCAAAGCGTCTGGTATATCTCCATTTAAAATATTCGTCCATATACATATCTTGAATAAATATGTGAATTGTTGGAAATGAAAAGTAAAAAAAGATATTAAAACGCTTCATTTGCATCAGAATTAATAAACTCGTTAGGAAACACACATGAATCGCTCATTTTATTTATTTATTTATTTTAAACTCCGAGGAAACGACCACCAAACAATTAGCTAAAATATAAACATATGCATAGAGAAAACACTTAACATTAAAATGTAAACCAAAATTTACATTTAAATACGTGTATATCAAGTAGCAGCGTCCCTATTAAGCAAGAAAAATATAATCAATGTTCATCACAAAAACTCATTAAAAAGCATTAATAAGGTATTTATACGTCATTCTCTTTTTCCCATTAATCGGTAACAACAATCTTTGATTAACAAGACATGTGTTTCCTATTAAGCAGGAAAAACATGATCTATGTCCATACAAAATTTTCATTTTTAAGCAGGAACAACATTACAAAATTGTTTCACACAATCTGTTCCCTGTTAAACAGTGACAACACAATCTATGTACAGCACAAACATTTCCCTATGAAACACGGACAACATTTGTACATCAAAATCATTCCCTATTAAGAAGGGACAAAAGTGTTCATCACAACATATTCACTATTGAGCAGGGACAAGATATGTCAAGATATATCAAAATCTTCTCTTTTTTAGCACTTGAGCACGGAAAACATATGTTCATCAAAAACTTTCTTATAATGCACGGACATCATATGTTCATCAAATCATCTCTTTTAAGCATATGGTTAAAAAAAAACTTTATTAATTTATTAAAAGAGGTACTATCCAATTTAGAACACCAGTATTATCTTGGATAAAAGCATCAACAGTCTCTGCCGTAGTGTCGTAAAACTTTTTAATTAAATCGATAAAATTTAGTTTAAGCAGAAGTAGCAAATCTCTATAAAATGCGGGGGCTCCATTTTTTATCCTTTAACTCGAAAATAAAGAAGACTCTTCTCAACTGTCTGTATATGAGGTTTTGTTAACGCTAAGATAAATAAAGTTTTCTTCTCTTGGTACCCATTGAATGCATAACTCTATATTATATTTCAAACATAATTAAAAATACTTAAAGAGGCACTACATGTATAAAAGTCTAACGTAGAACCTGTATTATCAGTATTTGTATTACAGAAATGTAACTCTGCGAATTGGAATGAAACTTAACTGACTTATTCGCTAAAATTGAACAATACGCTTTCATAACTAACAAAAATATCTTTAACTTCGCTTAAAATTGTTTTTTAGTCTATTGTACATGTAGTTTGTCCAAACATGGTGAAAAGAATGCTTTTGTTTAAGCACATGCTTAATATGTTATATATCGTATCAACATTCTGTCAACAGAATTTAAA